AAGGGTCCGTAGTATTAATCAGAATTTTGTACCTTGATATCAGTGATTATCACCATATGATAAATTCGTCTATACATAATAGCTCATATCATAAGGGATGCCATAATTTATAACGGTAACAGTTGTAATTCTTTGTCTTCGGTAATAATTATATTCATCTCTGTTCTTCATATGCCTCTCAACTGACGTCAACAGATAGTTCCGTAAGAGCAATATTTACATATGAATTGTATGGAGTACAGAATTCTCATACAGAAAGGAAAAATGATCTTATTATGGACTTGCTCCTCTTTTGACTGCTTAAGAGTCATCTAAAATGTTATATTACAGTCACCTTTACTATTGAATCCTATATTATAAATTAATCAAAGCGGGGCAAATTTGCCACTCAAATAAAGTGATTTTCTAATACTATCATTATCTTAATATACAAAGATAAAAAGTTAATTCAGAAAGTAAATAGCCTCTACTTATTTAATAACTGCCATGTCCTCCTTAAAAATTAAAATATAAAATACGAAACTCTAAGGAACTTAATCCTCGAAACCAAAAGAATCACAACAGTAACATAGGAAGGAAAATATATGTGTAGAGTAGATTATAGAGAGTAGTGTGTTATTAATAAAACCTCCCCTGAAGAATCGGAGCATTTCCAGATTCCCATTATGTACTGGAAAAGATAAAATAGAAAAGAAGTCAACATATAAAGTGACGATACGAATATTTTCCTTAGAGGTATAAGCCTATAGCAGAACATGGTTCTAATTCATGCCATACAGATAGGAGTTCGCGTCTGATTCTTCTTAGGAACAACGACTCCATCACATTAACATCTCATCAAGATATGTGAACAAGTATATTAATAACCCCTTTCGTTAGCCTAAATAGACATAGATAATGATGAGCAGAAGTAAGAATAGAAGAAAAGGCAGACAGGGACCAATAGTAAAAACTGAATGTGAACACCTGAACCGCCAACATTAAATCAGGAACCTACGGCCGAAGTATAAGAAACAATCCATAGATCCTAACACCTGGAAAATATAAGCTAGGCACTACCGCAGAAGAGCGACACAATAAAGACTAGACTCTGATCCGGCGAAGCAAAACCCGGAATCCCAAATCCTAAAAAACCTAAAAATTAAACGAAAGCTCCACCCCTAGAACCTAAATCCTAGATCCTGAATCAATAGGATCTACACCCTAATCGACAACTCATAACCGATGAACCAGCACACTGAGGAATAACTCCTGATCCCAAAGCCATCAACCTGAAGGATAGAGCATGAGATTTAAACCTAAATCTGGCAGATGGATGATAGAATGTGACGCCGTCAAACCTGAATCCTAATGAACCAAACTCTGAAAGCAAAAGGTAAAACTAGATCCTGAAGGATAAGCCATAAGCCTGTCACCTGAACACTAGGCCCTAGATCCTAAAGATAGGCGTGAACCATGACGCCTAGGCAGTAGACCCTGATCCCTCCAGCCTAACTCCAAGAAGGTAAACCCTAAACAGGAAGCCTAAAAGATGAACCATAAACCCTGAAAACTAAACGTGCAACCCTAATCAATAACACCTAATCACTAAACCCTACCCCAAAACCTAGAACCTCAACCGTGTACCCTCATCCCAACCCCCTAAAACATGAACCGTAAACCCTAAGCCTCCTCCCTAAACCTAACCCCCGGAATCTGAAACCTGAATCCTAACCCCTAAACGTAAAAACCCTAACTCGAAGCCCTAACCCCTGAATCCTGAACAGCTCAACAATAAACCCTGACGCCTGAACCCTGAACCCTTAGCCCTAATCCCTCCCCCCTGGACCCTATAACCGAAACCCTGAACCATAACCCTCCCCCCTACCACCTAATCTCGGAACCGTAATCATAAGCCGTAATAACTAAACATGAACCCTAAACGTAGACCCTAAACCCTAAACGCTAAGCCTAAACGCTAAACCCTAAACGCTGAACCCTGAGCCCCGAACCCTGAAGACTAATCATGAACCCTGAACCGTGAGCCTAGACCCACCGGCCTAAACTCTAACGCTAAACCCCGAATGGTGAATGGCTTGACCCTTAACGCCCTACCGGCAACCCTAGATGCTAATCCTTACCTCCGTACGCCAGAGCCAAAATGCAAATTCTCCTATTCCGCAATATTCCGTCCCCCCTTTTCTAATGAAAACCCCAAATTCACCATCGCAGACCCCCCGGAACCTAAAAGTAAACCCCCAACCCCCAACGGAAGACCCCCCCTTCTCCACCTCACCCCTCCCTACTTCCTGAGACGCCCTTAACGATATACTCCCGCCGGAGGACCCTAGGCCTCAAGCCCCACCGTGTATGGCCTTTTGGGAGCCGCCAATTCTGAACTCCTAATCCTGGATGACCGCTGCCAGACTCTCCCCTTCCACTGCTCATATCTAGGAGGATCCCCCACCCACCCCGCCCTAGGGTCCTTACTCCCCATGTATTCTCCCTTAGTCGATCCTTCCCTGTCTCCCGAGTTGTTTGTTCCCTGGGCCCCTCAACAATCTGATTTTGATTGACCAAAGTACAGGGGTAGAATGCCGGCTTCGGGGTATGGGAGGGATGCGGACGGTTCCTCAAGGCCGCGGTCCTAACGCCGTTCCTCCCCCCGGAATGGATGAAGCCTCGTCGTTCCCCCCTCCTCTTCCTCTTTGGGTGAAGTTCCCTGTACCTTGTGCTTGTGGTGTCCTCCGCAGTTCTGTTGTTGTAGGTGGCCCTCCCGTTGTCTTCCTGTGGCTCTCTAGTTCCGGTTGCACGATTTCTTCGTCACGATTTGGCCGTGTTCCACTTCAGCCATCCTGCATACTTCCCGTATAGGAAACCCCATACCTCTGACGATGGGGCGCTCGGGGGGTCCGGAAGATTCTTCTCCAGATATACCATGCAAGGGGTATGAATCCCCCCATGGCCCCTGCGCCTGCGATGCCCCTGATTATCCCTTGCAATGGAGTGCTGGCGGTGACGGTGTCCTGTTTCCTTTGGTGTTCTTCGGTCCTCTTGAGTAATTGTTCCAGTTCTTCAGTTAGTCCTCCCTCAAGGTGCTGAGGCTTCTCCTATAAGAGACGAAATTTTAACAAGATGTTTATCCGGCTCATGTCTCTATGAGTTACATTCACTCGGGTTTTGCTCTCTTCCTTCTGCCACCTTGGTCCCTGCGCCGCTTCGGGAACTTTAGCCCCCCGCTCCTTCTCGAATGTCGGGTAGGCCTGTGCCTCGTTTTGGGGGTCGCTTCCCTCTACGACTTGGCTGATGTTTGGGAGTTGTTTGCGTCTTGACGTAATTTAGCCCGGATTGTATAAACTGTGGCTTCGGGAGGCCTTCTCCCTCTTAGAGACTTTCTGTCTTCCCTCCGATCTTGGCTTCTCCGCCCGTTCCGTTTGCATCGCTTGGTTTCGATTAAGAAGCCGAGATGCCCAGTCCCCCTAGCTCCTGTCCTACGTCGCCCTTTCTCTGCGAAAAGCTCTGGGGCCCAGGCTTTGTTTATGGAGGACTCACTTCGTCTCTAGGTCTTACCCACGTAGTATCCTCCTCGGCTTGGCAACCCTGACTTTCGAAGCTCCAGTAGCAGCTGGTTTCGTACGAATCTTTCCCTCGCCCACTGTCGATATAGCACTGCAACGCCGTGACTTTATTTCCTGGGAGGTAAAGAGTCCGACTCCACTGTTCTCCTTGGTGTGTTCCTTCTTTGTAGCTTTTTCCCCCGATCGTTATTCCTGACCCCCCCGCGGGAAACCAGAAGTTCATTATTTCTTTGGCTATTTCTTCGTTTCCCCACTGTTTAAATTTGCTGTACAGGGCTTGACATAAGTTACTGTTTCCATAGTTCAGAATTCTGTCTTTTCTTTCACTGTTTCGAAAGACTCCCCAGATTATTGAGACGATATCCATGCATATCATCAGGCTACGGTTTTCTCCCCTAGAAGATGTTAACACAGCCTCGTTAGTTATCTGTTCCCATTTGGTGTGTTGTGCCTCCCATACGCATCTTATGTCACCCTTCAGGGTACCCCGAAGACCTAAGCTCCTTTTGTCACATTTGGCCTGTTCCCATCTTCCGCCGCCCTTGTCTGGGATGAGGCTAGCTGCCCACTTCTCCAGACCCCTGCAGACTATTTCGGCCGCTCTACTAGTATTTGTGAACATGAGATTACCCGGGCCCAATATTGTCGCCCAGCGGTCGTCTACTCCTCCTCTGGGAAATTGCCGTCCCGTTGGCTGATAGTCGCATATTGTCTTCCTTTCATCTTGGTCGGAGGTTGCCGTTCTGACGCAGTTTCTTTTGCTCTTTTCCCAGAGGTGCTCTAACCAACCGTGCAAACTTGTCATCTTTGTTGTAGATTCTCTGGGTCTTATCTTCTCTCTATTGTTTCCCTTGTCTGTTTCTTCTTCTGTTTCTTCTGTTAATTCGCCCCTGGTACTGTTGCTCCTTTTATCCCCGAGTTCAACTCTTCTGTAGTCCTTTCTATGTGTCCCTGTCAGGAGTTCTCGTCCCTCTTGTGCCCGGCTCCTGCACTTCTCGCCCAGATTGTCGGTCCGCCGTTGACTCCTCCTCCGGCAGTTGCCCCCTTTCCCTCTTGCTTTCATCTAGATGTCTCTCCTCCTCTCCTTGTTCTCCCCTGAAGGGGCCCTGTCTGCGGCTGGGCGGGGGGATCTTTTGATTGGGCTGCTTCTGTCCCTCGGAGGGTGAGACTTCCCTTCTATGCCGGCTCGGGTTGACCGCCCAGTCCCAGTCTCCTTATTCTTCTGTTCCTGCCTTCCTCCTTTACTATGGGGATTGCCGTCTATCTTCCCTTGGACGGCTCTTGACATTCTGATTGGTGCGTCCTCGCCCCTTTGGTAGCTCCGGATAAAGCTTCCTTTGTTTCCTCTATTTCCTCCTTCTATCCTTGTTGTTGTAATCTTTGCCCCTCCCCCTCACCTAGGTACGGGTTCCATCTCCGCCTCTCCCAGTGCGTCTATCCGTATCGTCCCGTTCGTTAGGCCTCATTACCCCCTGGTTCTTGGGGGGCCTTCGGCCGTCTCTTGGGTTCGCCTGCTCTTGATTCGGACCCCCTTGCGCGAATCTCCTTGGGGAAGCTTCCTTCGGGGGGTGGCAAATTGGACGTGGTCTTTGTTGCTGTTGGGTCCTTTTGTGGCTAGTTGGTCAACGCTGCCTCCTCTTCTTCCTCCTGTTGCTTGGCCCTAGACGGCGTCGATTTTTGAGTCTTCTCCCCTTCTCTCTTCTGACTGATCCCTTCCCCCTGCTGATATGCTTATCCCTTCTGATGTCTCCCGAATTTTTCCTGGATCATCCTTGGCTCTCATTATCCCCCGTCGTCCTCCTGCCTCTTCGGGTTTTCTTCTTTCCCTTGCCGCCCCTCCGGCCTGCTGATGCCCTTAATCTTAATTTCGCCTCACTTCTTATCTCTCAGCGACGTTGTATCCCCTTGTTCTTGGTCCTCTTCTTTGCCTTGATTCGACCTCCTTGTCTCCTGAATCATCCTCTTCCTCCCCATTGGAGCCTATTTCTCCTCCTGATCTCCTCTCTGGGCTCGGACTTGCCCTTGCCGGGACCACTCCTGTCCCTCCCTCCCTGTCAATTCATCTCCTGGTGTTTGAGATCCTCTGGCCTCCCCCAGCTGTCCCTTTGGTAATGAAGAACGGTCACGACTGGATCTTGTCGGCTTTCATAGTTTTGGTCCTGTTGTCGTACAATAGCAGCGGTTGTCTCTCGTCCTTCCTTAACGGTGGGGCGTCTTTTAAGGCCCTCGGCTGTGGTGTCCTGACCTCCTCCTTCACTCTGCTTTCGTCTATTCTGCTGTTGGGAGTTCCCCTGTTGGGATATTTCTTGTTCCTGTTGAAAGCGATCTTCCCTACGTCTGTTCCACGCAGTGCCCCGTGGCCTCAGGAGCTTCTAGGTGTTGTTCTCACTACTTCCTCCCCATTCTTCCTTTGTCAGCTTCTGGTTTAGGTCAGGAGCGCTTCCTGTCTCTTCCTGGGAACGTTCCCCTGCCGCTCGGGGGTCCCTGACCTTCCCCACGTCTTCACTTTGCCCGGAGGTTCTGTGTCCTTCGGCCTTTTACTGTGTATGCCATTTGCTAGCTTGGGTGGTGGTGTTGTTGTTGTTTCTTTTCGGGGGACGGTTTCTTCTGGGGGTCCCTCGATATAGGATCCTCCTGATCTGTTTCCTAGCGCCTTCGGATTTTCGATCAGGTGTCCTCACTTTATGCTGTGAGGATGTTGTTGTCTTTTCGGGGACTCTGCTCCCTTTTGTGCTTGTTGTTCCGGGACCTGGTCCTCCCGAAGCTTTCTTTCGCTGTCAGCGCCCTGGGTTGTCGCTTGTTCGGCACGGTTTTAGTCCTAAGTCTCTCCTTCTTAAAGGAATGAGTTGTTCGTCTAAGGGGGCCTTATAGTGCCTCGAATGGGGGCCCGCGGCATCGCTTGCGGAGGGTCCTGTTGTATCTTTGCTCGCCTTGATGCCTCTACGGGCTGGACGGACTCTTATGCTGCTATATTGCCGGCTGCATCTGTCCCCGTCTTGTTCCCTCCTGCAGATTTATCATATATCAGAAAACGTGCCTTGTTCGATTCCTTTTGGCCAGGCGCTTGTTCCCCCCCGACTGAGTGATCGAGGGGGGGCTTGGGGATTTGTTCCTGCTTTCTTTTCTCGTCTCTGGAGCTTAACCCGGGGGTAGGCCTGTTCTGCTCCTTCCTCCTTCATTTCTTTCGGGAATGGGGTGGTGGATAACTTGTGAATTTTCTTGGATGGATTTTACGACTTCTGACGTTCTTCTTTGTTGACTTATCACTTTGTCCCGTTTTTTGTGTGGGTTGTCCTTCCGGTTTTTTGCTTCTTCGGCTTACTTCACTTTTGGGTATCTCGTGTTCTGCTTGGGTGTCCCTGGGGTTCTCTTCCTTTGCCCTGACGACCTCTTCTCGGTGTTCTCGATTTGTTCTAGTACTCCCGCCTGCGCCTCTTTTCGTCGGTTTTCCAGGATTCGTTTCCCATGATCCCCTGCGCCCGTTTCCTCGCGCTTCCTATTCCTCTGCCCTGTGCCTTCTCTGCAGTTTCCCTCTAATGCCTTCGCCTTTATGGGTCCGGCTGAGTTGGGACCCTCATCCACGTCACTTGTCTCGTGCTTGGGGTTCCTGTTTCCTCCCTCTGCTTCTTTGCCCTTCTGCTTCTCTGCTTCCCCTTTCTCTGTGGCGTCAAACCTTTTCGTGATTTTCCCTCGTCCTGAAGATTCTGTCTCCTTTCGCTCGTCGTACCCTCTCTGCTGGAGCTTATCCTCTTTGTTGGGGGTCTCTTATCCTGGTCGGCGCCTCCTTGATCTCAGGCTCCTTTTTTCTGGCGTGGAAAGGCTCCCTCCTCCCGGTTGGGTTTCGCTCCAGTCGTTCCTGTCTGGACTCTTTTGTCGCCTGTTTCTCAGGGGCGTCCTGCTTGGGTTGTTCTTGAGATTCCTCTCCCCCGATTATGTTCTCTACTGCTCACTGGACGATTCTGGCCTCCGTTAACGACATTGTTCCTGCTTTCCGCTGTGTTATTTGGCGGGATGACTTGCAGCTTCCTGTTTTCTTTCCCCCTCCGTGCCCTTGTCGTTATTTGGCCATGTTGGTAGTCCTCTCTCTTGTCCTGGGGTGTGTGTGGCATCACCTCTTATCCCTTTGTTGCCTTTCTTTCCACCCCCTGTCTACCCTTTGCTGACTCCTCAGATTTCCTTTTTACCCTGGGTTGGCGTCTTCCTGGCTTTGCCTAAACCTCTCAGCTAGGGGTTCCAGCTCCTTGCCCTAATATACCGTTGGGCTTCCTATCTCTCGAGATCACGGTCTGGGGTTAGGGGTTCGTTGCCTGGAGTCTTTTTTTACGCCTGTCTTGTCCGTCTTTTTGTCGGGGGGGGAGTAACCCTTTCCCTTTGGAGTTTTCAGCTCGGCTTTTTTGTTTGGTATCCCTGATATTCTTGAAAAGCCTACGGGTTATCCTATACTCCTGCCCCCAGAGTCCCCTTTGTTCTGCTTTTTTGTTTTGCTTTGCGTTGAGTTGGTTGGATCTGGGGTGTCGTTTTTTGGGAGATGAGCTGCTCTTTAGTGGGTACTAAGGGCCTTTGGGGGCCTGGATGGGGATTTTTGCCTCCGTTCGTCGTCGTACTCTTGGTACTTTTGCTCCTTCTGTTGCTGGAGTCGGTTTTGGGCTTTGGAGTTCTAGAGAAACTTCCTCTGAACATTCTTAGACTTACGGCTTCTTTCCGCCCGCTCGTTTTGTTAGAAACGTCTTCTGGTGCTGCCTTCCTTGCTCCTCCTGGCGTTGATATACGTCCTGTCGTTTCTGTGCTGTTGAGAGTCGGATTATTCCGGCTATGGGATTTGTTTTCCAGGAATGCGTCCTTAATTTCTTGTTTCTGTGTTAATCCCGATTTTCTTTTCTCCTGACCGTTCTTTTCTTCCATTATTTTCTCCGGGGTCGGGTTTGGCCGGGGCCATGTTGTTTGTCTCCTTTGATAAGTAGACTAATGGAAATCTGAGAGATTTGCTGCCTCCGTAGCCTGTTTCTGGGGGTTTTTATCTGGTTTCTCCTCTCTCTGGCTTGTATAATATTCGGGTTTGGTTTAGTTGGAGGATTCCTACAGGAGGGTCTTCTATGTTAGAGCAACTTTTGTAGGGCTTCCATTTTGTTTCGCTCTGGTGTTCTCACTACTTGGGCTCAGGGTTGTTTGTTTCCTTAAGGTTGCTTTTTTGGAGGTTGCTCAAATGATAACTGTGCAGATAATCTCCATTGATAGACTGGGCCCGGATTCTATCTGACGCAAGCTCGCGGTCAATATTAGCTTGCCCTAAAAAAAAATTGGTCCTATAGTTGTATCTTTTTCAGAAAATACCTGCCCTGTCACTTGACCATTTGGTTTCCTTTGAGGTTTGTGTCGCGGTAGGAGGGTCTCCATTTGGTGGCCTGTTAGTCTCATGTTCTCTTCGGTGAATATATGAGTGATGATTCGTCCCCTAAGGATACGAACTGGAAGCTGCGAGTGGGTGTTGGGGGTAGCTCCATTACTTGATCTGGCGAAAGCTTCTAGTTGTTTTCTCTTGTTTCTATGTTCTGAGGACGCGTTAATACCTTCTTAATAATTCGGGGAGGGATTCAGAGGGAGTCTTGACTAGACGAGAGTCTAAACAGAATTAGAGTCTCCTTATCCTGAGAGTGTGGGGTTTCTTGACCTGTCGATATCATTGTTATCTATAATCTGATGATATTTCATATACTTTGTTTTTTTCTGTATTGGGCCATCTTTTTCTTGTTTTTCAAGTTGATTAGAATTACTTTCACAGAATGTTATTAGTTTCAGACTTCTGCTTGTTCGGATAGAATAGTTAAAGACTTTTGTATTTCCTAGAGGTTACTTAGACATTAAGCTTTGAGGACTCGAGAGGGCATGTGTATTCACATACTGAAAGCATAAACCCCGAAGCGTTAATATAACCCATTACAAAAATGGGAATACTTTCCACATCCTAGATGGATTGTTAGAGTCGGGGAGTCTACCAGGGTTTGGGACTGATACTATTATTTTATAAATAGACTTATCCAATGTTCCTTTTGATTTTTTAAATATCTACGCCATAAGGCTCTGACTACTTTTTATTCATAACCATTACGGAGACTTGTTTAGTCTGGAGATACAGTAACACTCGAGTATATTCCCATTATCTACACAGAGGTTTTCTTTAAAGAACTTTGCCTTATGCATAAGGAGACTGTTCAGATAATAACCCCTCAAGTTATTTTCCAAATATTACATCGTATGTTATTTAAAATGTTGATGGATTCTACAGAATGGCACTTTTCATCTATTGGGTTCATCCACACGGAATTTCCACAGATATATTGATCTGTTTTAAATAAGGGGTTTCTTGGGGGCGGGCTTGATTCAAAGGATTTAGTCGTCAGAATATTTGGATATTTCATGAAGGTTTATACATTATTACGGCTGGTACAGGTGTCCAGTTCACGTGGGTGGACACATCTGCCATGTTGTAAGAATTTACCCAGTTCTGGCAGTTATCTAATACTATATCAGGTGTATCTCTGAAGTTCATTTAATTTGGAGATTCATATAATAGTATTCTTGAAACACACATACAAAGTAGAAATAATGTTAGAGGTTGCTGGTTATTATTATTTAAATCGTAGTAGTCCGAGTATAGTAGTACTCACTATGATGAGGTTATCTGTTTTATATCAACACTTTGCACACATTCAGACTATTCATACGATAGTATTCTGGGAATATTAACACTTGAAGTTAAGAAGTTATCTTCACACAAGCGTAATCCAACGATATCTTTACAGTTCGTTACAGTGGGTGTGCTAAAGTCATGAAGCATCAGGTAATTCAGCACTCTTAATATAATAATACCTTAGGGATTGCTACAGGTTAAACACAGTAGTTCCTTGTGTATAAGATAAGTCAAAATCCTAGGCTTCGAAATTTTTAACCTTCAAATAGTTCTGCATCAGGAACACCTATAACCTGTTCACCATTTTGTCTCCTAAAGGACAGTCCTACACACATATTAGTTTACTTACAAAATATTATTTCTGACTATGCCTACTACTTACGGAGGTATTCTATTAAGAAAACTATGCACAACAAATATTACCAGATCTCAACCATTAGTAAATTTATATAAAAGTACTACGACAACTTCGGTAATCATTATCATTCAGAATCCATACACATCCGTACTGTACACACGGGAATCCTTGCTGAATATCCATACACTGGACGGAATAGTGCTTTCCAAAGTATGATCCTCCTAGAATATGGATATTTCACACACAAGGATACTATTCCCATTATTGTACCCCCGGCATCATAATACAATGAAAAAAACCGTGTCCGTAACATTTATTAGGGGTTGTACAATTCGCTACTTTATACTATGAGGGGTTTAGAGTTAAATCCAATCGCTTCACATAATTGCTTCTCAAAAGAAGCCTTGGTCATCTAGGCACAGCATCTGGCACATAATTGTAATACTGTTCAGAGGTTGAAACACTGGACAGGTGCATGTGGATAACAGCATAGTATCCCTCACATAAGACTATTACGGGAATTGTTATACCCTCCATCCTTTAACTGTCAGCAAGAGATAAAAGGCTATTTTATATATGTTATCCCCCTGAATATTTTGATTAACCATATTGTTCTTATTGCATCATTGTTTGAATAGGAATATCCGACGAATCTGGACACTACGGAGATAGGATTTTGGCATATATTGATCTAGTTTTCATATAATGATATCTCCCCTCCTGAATACTCCGCATTGGGCGGTGCACTCCAAATGAAAGTATTATGCAAACAATGGTACTGTTAACATAACCGTATCAATTCTATAGGTGTACTTGTCAAAGAATAGTACCCCACATAGTGTCCTACTAAGGAAAGCATATAACTGCGGATAGAAGGACAACACTAGCACGATAGCACTACAGGAACCTCAATACCTGAAATAAAAATGTACTCTCAAAATCATCATACTCCCCAAGATCCAATACTGCTTAAGTAATAGTATCACAGATGGGTCCCGGGAGCTCCGCTTTCCGGCAACGGTTTTAATGAAGTCATTAGACTTACATCAAAACACTCGGAATTTTGATAACTTAAAAATACGCCTACTATTCGGGGTGAGATGCATCCCACATAGCATTAGATTCCCTCAATTAACAGTGCACTTCAAATCAACAAACTCAACACAGAATTATCCTTAACATAAAGATACTACGATAGCCTCTTCCTTTCTCATAAGATATTTTTCCCTAAATGGTAGAAGGTCACGCGGGATACATCGTATCACCGTAATACAGCGAGTAATCCGACTGTCTCAACTTCTCCAGAATCTAGATGGCGCTGTAGCACGTCTCTCCGCCATCTTCACATATCAGTACTATACCTGTGTGTTTACCCTCTCCATATTAGCATTGCATGTCCTGAAGGCTTCCTAAGAAACTGTTCCATTGCAGGAGAAGTATTTTTTACTTAACAATATTCTTAACGTCACCGTACCCTTGGCAAGCACACCCTGTTCTATAGCATATTATTTCGAATATAGTGATATACATTACGACCTAACAACTAAGGGTGCAGGCTAGTATGATAGAAAAAAAGATCATGCAGATAGTTATGAGACTAGGAATTCCATATGACGAGACCATGAGAGTCTCCGGAGTGTGGACAATTGAACATCCAAGGACTTGATTACGGTATAGGCCAATGCCGTAGAATACTCATGCACTTCATATAACAATACTACACATGCATCGGGGCCGAGCATCAGCGTGAGACACGCACACCGATAATTTGCAAGGGATACCCGAATTTGCTTTGGGCCTTTGAAATAACGAGATGATGAACAGCTCGGTACTCTTGGGATATGAATACTACGGGCACGTAAATAGCTTTCCTACAACGAGAGTGCAGGAGATCCCCACTCCTGACACAAGATCCGTTTTCAATTAACAATGTTATCCAGGTAATACTATTTTTCACATAATAGTATTCCATGCAAATCATGACTTTTAAAGGAATAATACACCAGGGATAAGAGTTCCTTCTCACACCTCGATATATTATTTTTGTCTGGTACTGCTACCCCATCCGTATGGTCATGATATTTACACTTCACATAGGTGGCCATCCTCATAGATAGCCGAAGAAGGGAAATATCTTCATAATGGCTTCACAGAGAGAAGAAAAAAATGGGTCCATCAGAATCATAAGGGAGAAAAATCTCTAATAAAGAACAATGACATACAATACAACATATCCCGAGAGATGCAGCCAGGAAGGCATCTTCACAATGATGTAACGTGAAGAAACATTTTCACAATAATGCATGGAAAAGAACATCTTCAAGAGGACGAAACCGTGAAACGTCGGGGGGATACCAGGAGAAAAAATAATCTTCATAAAAAAAATAAACGACGCAACAGCACCTGAACCATGCCGCGGAAAACGAGCATATTCATAAAGGAAATCAAACACGAGAAGACATCTTCAAAATGCCGCAAAAAGAGTACATCGTCGTAGAAAACATGACACACAAGAAGACATCTTCAGGGTGCCTCGGGAGAAAGCAGAATCCATATACAAGAGATAACACAGAACAATATATTCAAGCTGCAGCCACAAAATAGGATGATAAGGGACGCCGCGGCACAGAAATATTTTCATAAGAAGAATGCCTCGCGAGGAAATTCCATCGCAATAACATGATAAAAAGAAAAGGCATTTTTATAAAAGAGTCGAACAGAAGAATATCAGCCATATAACGCGATAAAAAGAATCTTCGTAAGAATGCCACACAAGCGAAAATTCTCATAATGACATGGCCCGGAAAACTTCATCACGACACAACAAGACAGGACTATCGTCAAAAAGGAAATGCAGCACACACAAGAATCTTAATAGTGAAACGGCGAGAGAAACCATCTCTATAAGAATGACGAGCGAGAAAATATACTAGAAGTACAGCGCGGTAAAATGAATCTTGCAGAAATGAATAGCCTACAGGGAAAATACACGTCACATTAACGCAACATAGAGAAGGAGAACTTCATAAAAATGGAACAGGAAATATCATCCTGAAAAAAATGCCACACACAGAAAGATCTTCATATTGACGCAACAAGAACAGTGTAGCTGTGCAGAAATGTAACACAAAGAATCATTATTATAGTCACATGCCAGATATAAGCATCCTTAGAAAAATGCCACACAGAGAGAAAGAATCATACTACCGCGGCACAACAGTACGCGTCACAGTGCCGCCGCGAAACAATACACATCACAGTCACGTAAGACGAGAGCAGCGCAATCACTCGCACAAAGAGTATCATTAAAATGTAGAAAAAAAAAGCATCATCAAAAGACGACACAGAAGAAATCGTCATAAGAATGCGGCAGGTAAAGGCATCTTCATAAGAATGAAAGCAAAAGTGGTATCTTCATAAGGATGCTGCGGGGGATGTCATCATAAAGGAACCCTCCAAAAATTCTCGTGAAAGGAATGCGGCAGAAACGTGTATCCTCATGGAAAAATTAAATAGAGAAATATATATAATGAAGCGAAACAGCTTGCCTGCGACAGATATAGAACATAGGGGAGCCCCCCCAAGAATTGATCCACATGAAACAACTCTGACCAGGTTAAGCCACCTGAAGCTACGTCGTGGAGAAATTACGCCACATGGAAAGGCG